GGGAAGGAGGCTTTGTCCCTCGGGGCGCGCGGGCGCCGGAGCCCCCAGTGCCCCTTGACCCCGCTCGCTCTTGGGTGGCGGGCTCCTTTCGGCCGTGTATGTTCGTGCATTGCTTGTCTTCATTCGAAAGTTTCCATTTTTCTTCTTTCTTTTTCTTTTTTAAGCCCTTCGTGCCTGGGGGTTGGGAATAACTCGCAACTGCAGAAACTGTGCGTGCGCGGTTCCACTGGGGCCAGACTTCCTTGTGCGTCAGTTTTCTCGCCTGCAAAATGGGGCTAGTGGTAGCACCTGTTTTAGAAGGTTATTGGTTTTTTTTATGTAATTACTCATTTATTTTTAAAATAACAAAGATTTATGAGTAGATCTGTCCTGTTTTAGAAGGTTATTACCGAATTAATTTATATTAAACATCCTCGAAGCCCAGTCCTCAATACTTGAGAGTTCTTAGTGTTCCTACTACGAGGAGGTTCGTCGTGAAGCATTTATCGTGAGCCTGGACCTGGGCACCTTGCCAAGGGTAAAAAAAGTGAATGAGACGTCTTGTCCTCAGGGACTCAGGGAACGCTACAGTTTTATGGAGGAGACAGACTCATAATAGGAATTCACTGTGATTCGAACTGGGATTTTGGATAGACAGACAGGACTGTGAATGCGGAGAGAAGGCAGTGAACCAAATTTCTGGAGGTCAGGCTGATGGTGACCAAAGAGAGATTCCAGAAGAAGGTGACTTCCAAAACGAAGCATGACAGCTGCCTGCCTTTGCACTGGCCAGAAGCCGAGGCCGTGAAATGCGCTGTGCTCTGGGCAGAGAGCAGCGTGGGCTTCTTGGGAATCGGCTAGGGTTTCAGGCTGGCTGGAGACGGGTTCTGCATGGTGGAAGTGGTCTGGCTTGATGATGTGTAAAGAGAAGCAGGTGCCCCTCCTGCAAGACTTTTCTTGTCTCTCTGTAAGTGTGGAGTTTGGACTGTATGTTCAGACTGGAGCTCCCAAAGTGATGTGAACAGGATTGTGTGTGTGTGTATGTGTGGGGGGGTGCAGGTATTTGATCAGGTGTGATTCAGAAACATCAGGTTTTTGTCATTGTTCATTCTGGGACTCCTCACTCTTCGCATCTGAATTTCACTTTGCAGTCATTTATTTGTGATGATTGAAAAAAAAAATATCTAACGTTTACTCTGTGCCAGGTACTGTCTGGGTGGTAGGGAAACAAGTGTGTGCTCTTCTGGTGATCACAAATTAGGAAAATACGCATCAGACAAGTGATTGTAAATGGGACGAGAGTCGTGAAAGGGGCACATGTTCAGAGGAAGCCAGTCTAGCTGGGAGGTTTGGAGAGGATCTGGATAAAATGTCTGGAGGGAGCAGTGTGAATTACCTGTATTTTGACACGGTTGGGGAGATAGTTTTCCAAATATGTTCCCAAGTACAATCACGGAAACAAAAATAGTCCACTACAACAGCAACATAAAGGTCCATGTGGAAAAAGATCCATCTAGAGACAGAAAAAAGGCCCAGCTCCTTCAGGGCTACTGCGTGGCACCCTCTAGGAAGGACCATTCACTCGGGCTATGCCCAGGAGACAGCCAGAGAAGTAGGAGGGAAACCAGGAGAGTGTAGTCAAGAAGGCCGGAGGAAGCAGTCAGCTATGCTTGCTGGTACTGCTCTCAAGACAGTTAAAAGTTAGTGTGTTTTGCATTAATAACTAGTGAGATCATCGGGGACCTCATTGAGCAGATTTGTGAAATGGTGGGGGCAGACACTATAATGTCGCAGCTTCCAGAGGTTCAGGTAATGGATCAGTGAGATGAGTTTGGAGTGGGATGTGAGAAAGACAGCGTGTGGGCAGCTCAAAGAAGTTTGTCTCTGAAGGTAGGGAA